CTGTGTGTGCCCTCAGCCCTGCCCTGGCACTGCCAGGCTCCATGCTCTCATTGCACACAGCTCCTGCCCACTCTCATCTCTGCTGGGGACTTGGGCCGTGTCTGCCAGCAGCCCAGTATCCCCAGTCGTGTCCTGATGAGTGCCAGCGAGTGCTGGAGCTGGCCCAGCTGGGATCCCCACCCACAGGGCTGTGGGTGAGGGATGTGGAGCTCACAGCAGGGCTGGCCACGCTCTCAATGCATTCCTTGTTCCCAGGCCCTGTGAAGATAATTCCTCTGTTCCCAGTTTTCCAGCCTTGCTGGTGTTTCACTCCCTTTCCCAGCCCCGTGGATGTGCTTGCTCACAGACAGGGAGACTCTTGTCTGTGCTGCACATTGCTGTGGGCTGCAGGGAATCTTCAAGGTCTTGCTGACCCAGCTAATTTGGGGAACAATTAAGCATTTCTAGCATGAATGAGAGTAATTGTTGTCCTGATTGGGGATTGAGACAGGAGGAGACACAGATCACAACCAGTGTTTGCTTGAGCAACTTTTATTCATTGCATTGATGAGTAACATCGAGATGTTCCTATTAATGGCACGTTAATATTACTGTCAATATTAGTTCTACTAATAGTAATTAATGCTGTTAATTACACACAGAGCCCTCAGTTAATCTGCTCCCACCCATTCCTGTTGGAGCAACAGCAGCTGCCTCAAAGGCTCACACTGCCATGCCAGTACCTCCAAGGTGTTCAGAAAGTCACTCAGGGGTCCCATTCTTATCAGACACCCGTGTGCATATTTATATAAAAGATGAAAAAGATAAATTTGGGGGTAACCCTGTAGTTTTCCTCGACACAGAGCTGCCACCACCTTCTTGAACATGATCCAAGTCACACAATCTCAGTGTAACCTTGACACTCCTGCTTGCTGCTGGCCTTGGGCAGCTTCTCAGGCCCCTGCTGTTGCCTCTTTATCAGCTCCTGTGGGTTCAGCAGGACCAGAAGTCTCCTCAGTTATCAGTTCCTGGGAGAGCTGCCTCTCAGCTCGTGCTTTCCCTGGATTTGCTGTTTTCTGGGAGCTGTTTCTGATCCATACTGTGTATTTCCAGTAGCTTGAAGGTGTCTTAGAGCTGAAAATGAGTGAGTTGGAGCTGTTGGGTCAATAAACTCAGCACCTTGTGCATTCCAGTGTTGTTAAAAGCATTGAATTTTGCTTCAGAGACTGGAATTTGGGAAGAAGGTGGAGAACTGAAGATATTTATCCCTTCCTTCCCTGCTTCCCTCCACTCCCCACCTTGCAGAAAATGCTGTGGATGCAGTGCCCAGGCATGGAAAGGGGCTTGGGCACAAATAAATGCCTGTGGGGTGATGGGAGTGAGGAGGTGCTCAGCTGGAAGTGCAGATCCTGGCACTCTCTGCCTTCCCCAGGGCTCTCACCATGGGATCTCAAGGGCAGGGATGGATTCTAGATAAGATCCTGTTACAGGAAACCTGGATCAAAACTTGGCCTCTTGGAAATCTTGAAAATTGATTTCCAGCCTGAATGATCTGTTTGGGCAGCAATTCTTTTATATGAGATAAACTTTTATTTTTTCCCTTGCACACTGGGAAGAGGAGAGTTAAGGAATTTTCCATGTGTCCATGTGGATGTTGTTCATTTGTCCTCAAGGCAGGGCTGATTTTTGCTCAGGTGATAAATTGCACCTGGATAAATCAAAGTGTTGAAGGTGTGAGCTCAGCTTGTTTACCTCAAGAAGAGACAAACCAGTTTTTTATTCTCATTTATCCTGAGTGCTGGAGGCTGAAAAGGAGTTCACTTTTAGAAACTGATTTATTATTGATTTCTTTAAGAAAGAGTAGAGAAAAATCAAGAGGAAGTTTAGGGTTATCCTTAAAGGATGTAGTGGATCTAATCAGGCCTTTTGGGTCATTAAAAATGATGTAAGTTAGGCAGTAACAACAATTTTGAAGCTGGAATTTGTGTGTAAGAAAGAATGACAAATTTGCTTCTTAACAAGTGGGAGATCCTAATTAGATTTTTTATTAAAAAAAAACACACCAAGAAAAAAAAGGAAATTACAAGGAAAATTTTAAATACCAATTTTAACTGATTTTGCTAAGTTTCTTCCTCCTCTGAAACCATCTGAACACTGGCTTTTTTTATATTAGATTTTAAAATAGCACCAAGCTATATTTATGCTAAAACTATTCTTCAAAACCTATAAATTTGATTTTAAACACCTGCCAAGCTCAGTTTTTGCTCTGCTCCTTTGTCCGTGTGTATTTTGAGAGTCACCAACTACATGAAGTCTAACTTGAATTTTGTAGGATTGTGGTTCATTTATATGGGATAATCCATGGAAATCCTTAAAAAAAAACCTTAATTTTTTTTTCCTCTTTCCTCAGAATATTGAATGTTTTCCGGCACTGGGTCGAGCACCATTTTTATGATTTTGAGAGGGATCTGGAGCTGCTGGAGAGGCTGGAGACCTTCATTTCCAGTGTCAGAGGTGCAGTAAGAGGGGTCCTGTTCCCTTCCCACATTTTTTTACAACTTTCCCAGTCTGATCCTGATGGGTTTTAGGCCTGAGAATACCTTTGCACACATGAGTGATTTTAATGCCTTTAATTGAGCTGTTTATGAGGCTTCCCTTTACATGAGGAAGCTTTGGCTTGGAGCCTAAATAGCTCCTAAAAATTATTTCAAGCATCAGGAGAATAATACTTTAAATTTATTTCCTTCTGGACAGTATGGTCATCCTTGCCTGACTCTGTAATTCAGAGTCACCTTCCCCTTCTCCATAGAGAATTTTTCCCATTTATATAAAATTCCAACTGAAAATCATTATCCTTTTAGAAGAGGGTATTGGGCCCATTTGGTGTCTCTTCTTTATAAACCAGATTTTTTGGCAGCCTCTGTGGAGAGCAGCAGTGTTTAATCCTTATCCTGGCAATTCCAGGTTTTCATTTTCAGAATGTCAAGCCTTACATTGAGCAACATAATTCTGAGACAATTAAAAGAACCTGGACTCAGTCTCACTTTTTTCCACACCAAAACTGTCAGAGGATGTGGTTAAATAGAACTGATTTCACATCTGTTTATTTGTCAGCTGATACAGGTGTAAAAACCCATAAGAAAAAAATAGAGAAATACAAACCTGATTATTTTACATGCAGAAATGTAGAATTCTGAGTGTACATTCAAATTCTGAGGGGGAGTTGGTTTCACTAAATTACCACAAGTCCTTTAAAATCATGGATTCCCAGAATGGTTTGGGATGAAGGGAGCTTAAAGCTCATCCAGTGCCACCCCTGCCATGGCAGGGACACCTCCCATTGTCCCAGGATGCTCCAAGCCCTGTCCAGCCTGGCCTTGGGCACTGCCAGGGATCCAGGGGCAGCCACAGCTGCTCTGGACACCCTGTGCCAGGGTCTCCCCACTCTCTCAGCCAGGAATTCTCAATTCCCAATATTCCATCCATCCATCCCTGCCCTCTCATAATTTGAATCCATTTCCCCCTGTCCTGTCACTCCAGTCCTCATCCAAAGTCCCTCCAGCCTGAGCTCCAGTTCCCAAATATATTTATTTACAAACTCAGAATATTTTCTCCCCTGAGATTGCTCTATTACACTGACATTTCTGAAAGAACCTGAATTTATTAAAAACCAACACTTGTAACAAGATTAATGCACTTTTCTCCTCTCTTGAACTTGTAGTTTAACCCTCCCCTGTGTCAATTCAAAGCTTAACTTACACCAGCATTAGAAAACTCACGTGTGGGATTTTTTTGTTTGATTTTAATGATTTCTCATCCACAGGAAAATCCATGAAGAAGTGGGTGGAGTCCATTGCTAAAATCATCAAGAGGAAGAAAGCCCAGGCAGATGGGGTCAGCCACAACATCACCTTCGAGAGCCCCCCACCACCCCTGGAGTGGCACCTGTGGCGCGTGGGGCACAGCGAGGCCCTGGACCTGATGACCCTGCACCCCATTGAGATCGCCAGGCAGCTCACCCTGCTCGAGTCTGAGCTGTACAGGCAGGCTGAGCTCTCACACTTTCCTTTTTTTATTGTTATTTCAAAGCAAAATGATAATAATGCTCCAAAAAAAAAAAATAATAATAACGCTCCTCGTTCACACGGTCGAATATACCCCGTGAATTCCTGAGTTTATAGGAGGAGGTTTCTGTGCTGTCTGCTTGATGTTAGGACGTGCTAAGGAGTGGGGGAAAAAAAAGAGTTTTAGCTCCGTGTCAGATTTGTGACACCAGAAATGCAGGGAGGGTCATTCACGAGTCTCTCGTGCTTTAGGGCAAATTTGGGAGAAAACCAAATTTCTTCTCACCCCCTTTACTCCTGGAAGCAGTCTTAAAGGTGCAAAACTCAATATTCAACAGCAACAGAACAGATTGGGGGTACAAGCATCATAAAGTCACCCTAAGACAGAGTCTTAGAATTCTAATTCAAATTAAAAAATCCCATTCCTGCTTCAGTCACAGGAGGTTGAAACCAAGTGGTTGCTGCAAATGCTTCACCTTCCTATTTTTGATTTTGATCTCTTTTTAAAGTTGTTTTCTTGCCATTTCAGAAAATTAAACTCACTCCTTTGTACTTTTCTTATCTGAAAATGCTCCTTCAAAATTATCCAACTTCAATTAAGATAAAAATGTATTTCCTTCTGTACTCGAGCACTCATCAAAAAGTTGGTTTTTGTAATAGATTAGGTGGGATTGGATTTGTGAAATATCAGGTTGTGAATACAGGGAGAAATAATCTTTTAATGCAAACACAGAAATTACAGTTTTTACTTGTGCTGAGTGTTTTGCCCCCTGTTTTGTCACTCCCAGGGCTGTGCAGCCTTCTGAACTCGTTGGCAGTGTGTGGACGAAGGAAGATAAGGAAATTAACTCCCCCAATCTCTTGAAAATGATTCGTCACACTACAAATCTCACCCTGTGGTTTGAAAAGTGAGTGCAGTGCAGTGGCATTAACCACTTTTACCCTGGATTTGCTCGAGGTTTGCTGGTTTGTTTCTTCCAAATCCTCCCTTGACTTTCCAACTCGAACATACGTGAGATGTGATTACATAAATTTGTACTTGAGATTCTGGAGAGAGAGAGCCAAAATCTGCATGCTGGATGGGTTTTCATGGAAAAAAAATTGATTTACTAACTTACAAAGTGTCAGGTTTTATTTCTCAGTGTTTCTCAAATCCCATCTTTTGATCAGGTGCATTGTGGAAACTGAGAACTTTGAGGAGCGAGTGGCTGTGCTGAGCAGGATCATAGAAATCCTGCAGGTTTTCCAAGACCTCAATAATTTCAATGGTGTTCTGGAGATTGTCAGTGCTGTGAACTCTGTCTCAGTGTACAGGCTGGATCACACATTTGAGGTGAGTTTAGGGCATGGAAAAGGGAATTAAATTAGAATCCAGACCTGGCTCACACACAGTTCTGGAGTGAAATCCATTGTTGGCAGCAAAGCCTCCCTGGAGTAAAACAAAAAAAAGAAGAATATTAATAAAATGGCTTGAGTTTTGTATGGCTCTGCAAGGCAGCACAAGACCTTGAAGTTAAAATCAAATGTTTAATTTCTATTAATAACCAAATTTTCTAACATTAATGTTAAAATAATAATCTGTTTTCAGTAATGTCAGGATCCACATGACAAAATTATTGAGTGCTGTAATCCAGAGCAAACCATTGACACAAGAGGTTCTTTGAAACCTTCATTTTAATTCCCAAATTTTGTTCAGAAAGCCAGGGAATTGCCTTGTATTTGCAAATCATGCTGTTGAGAAGATTTCTATCCCTATTTTTTTTTTTTTTTTTTTTTCGTTTTTGACAACTCAGGCACTCCAGGAAAGGAAAAAAAGAGTTTTGGATGAAGCAGTAGAATTAAGCCAAGATCATTTTAAGAAGTATTTAGCTAAGCTCAAGTCAATCAATCCCCCCTGTGTGCCTTTTTTTGGTAAGTGACATCAAATTATTTGTGTGGTGTCACTCTGAAGTTGAGTTTGCTGCAGGTGGATGGTTAAAAACTGTTTGTTGGGTTTTTTTATTTAAATCAGGAATATACCTAACAAATATCTTGAAAACAGAAGAAGGGAATCCTGACTTCCTTAAAAGACAAGGGAAAGAATTAATTAACTTCAGTAAGAGGAGAAAAGTGGCTGAAATTACAGGAGAAATTCAGCAGTATCAAAACCAGCCCTACTGCTTAAGGATTGAGCCAGAAATCAGGGTAAGCAGCCATTCAATATCTGTTTGGCCATTGGAGAGGGGGGAAAATGCCAAATAATCTTCTAATTTTGCATGAATAGTGATTATCAAAAGAGGGGGGGAGCAGTTCTTGTAGCCAACAAAGAACCACACAAAAAGAGAAGCCAAAAATGGTGAAAAAGTAAATTTTGAATCACTGAATTACGAGTGTTTCATTCACATTTTCTCTGTATGCTTATTTTTAAATATTCTTGCTATTTGTTTCATTCAGAAATTCTTTGAAAATCTCAATCCCATGGGGAAGATACCAGAAAAGGAGTTTACAGATTATCTGTTCAACAAATCTTTAGAGATTGAACCTCGGAACTGCAAGCAGCCACCTCGATTTGTGAGTTTTCTCCTGAAATTTCCTGGAATCAGAGAATACCCTGAGTTGAAAGGGAAGCACAGACATCATCAAATCCAATTCCTGGGTTATTTAATTAAAATTAAATAGTTAAAATTCACTGACCACTGTGAAAATATTTAAATAATACGTGGTTGCCTCAATAAGCCAGATACATTTTCTTCAGAATTCCTTATCATGAGTTGATTTTCCAACTAAACTTGATTTAAAAATATTTTTACTCCTGTTGTTTGTCACTACTAAAATATATTACCTTTGTCTTATTTTAAAACTCACTTTTTCCCCCCAAAATCTGAAATATTGCTGTTAAATTTGTATTTCTTACCATATAGTCATATGATAAAATATGGAGTAATATTTTTCATTTCACAACACCAAGAAGTCTTAGTACTAATTAAAATATTACTTTTATACATAATATATTCAGCTTTCTTCAAGATAATTTCTATTTTTCTTTTGTCTAAATATTTGATATTATTGCAAAAACTGCAAACTTGACCAGGTGCAACCCTTTTTGCTGAAGAAAATACGGTTCCATTTAAAGGAGTAGCAATTTTAGGTTTAAAAAATCCCAGCTCCTGGAGCTCAGAGTTCTTCTTTAAGCAGGAAAATCACAATTTAGAGCACTTGGTTTTTTATATGTTGTAATTGCCTGAGGAAATGGAGCCACATCTAATTTTTTGGGAGAGCTATAAATCATTTTTGCCATCTCTTGTTAGAGGAACGAGTAAGATGATGTTACAAATGTGGCAAGAAAATGCCAGAAATTGCTGTTGCAAAAATGCTTCTTTACAGTAATTTTATTAAAATCTTTTCTAAAAATAGGACTCCAGCCCAGCTGGGCAGGAATTCTTTACAGCTCATGATTTCCAAAGAGAGAATCTGACTGGAATTTCAGGAAAATCCAGTTGTGGGTGCTGTAATGTGCTGGACACCACTGAAAGATGGGGCCATAATTCACTTTGCAAGGCTCAGCTTTGATCTGTGCTGGATTTCACCCAAGCCTAACCAGGCTGGGTTTATCCACACAGTGACCTGAGTGTAGGAATTTTGTCCTGGATAAACTGGAGGACATAACAACATGTTCCAGGAGTGTCCTTGATCCTGGATGTGTGGAGGGGTTTTGCTGTTTCTGTGGTCTTTGCCCCTTCTACAGCCCTAAGGGGCACTTGAAGGAAATTTCTGTGTCCCAAGGCTGTGACTTTTTTATCCCAGTGTTTTGTCCTGGTTGGCAGCAGAGCCTGGACTCTTCATTCCTCATACTTGTGGGGGGAAAAAAAAAAGATTTCTTCAGCTGCATCCACAACTTCCCAGCAAAGTCCTGCTGTGTAAATAACTCACTTGTATCCCTGGGCTGCTCTTTGAGAAATACTTTAAAAAAATATCTCACAGAGCCTTGGGAATGCTGCAGTGGAGAATGGCAGCAGTGTTTGGGAATGCTGCAGTATTTGGGAACATTGCAGTGCCTGGGAACGTTGCAGTGCTGGGAATGTTGCAGTGTTGGGAACATTTCAGTATTGGGAACATTGCAGTGTTGG